GCTTTTAGGCTAACTGGGCCCTGCCTGCTTGGGTCTTGGGTACAACTGGCACCTGGCAGGCTTCTCTCTGTGGCCAGTGTATTTGTTCACCTGCTCCCAGCTTCACAAGTTCCATTGACATCTGTCAGCTGTCTGTGTCCTAAAGGGTTTGTGCATTTTAAGCGTCCTTTCCTTGTTTGTAGAGAGGTTTTGGAGTGAGCAGGGAAGCCTGTAGATGTGGGTGTTGGGCTCCATGTTTATCTGCCAAATTCATGTCAGGGTGTGCATCTGTGTGTGTTTGTTCATATGTGCCCCCTCATATCCTGCCCTCTCCAGTGTGCCCCCTCATATCCTGGCCCCCAGAGGATCTGGGTATTATCTATTGTTTACTGTTTGGAGTATTGACTTTTCATCTTTTCCTTTTGGTTATTTAAAAATATTCACAAATAATACATGGACACTGTTTCATTAGGCTGTGTCAGTATTGAGTCTTCCAGGTGTACGTGGGTCTGTGCACGTCTGTTTTCGGTACTGGATCATCCTCTGCGTTAGGGGTTGTTGCCGGGATCCACACTGGAGCGGACGAGGCTCTATCTTACCCTCAGCTGATGTGCCACTCTATAGATGGGCGGCTTCTTTCTGTTTCCCTCCACTTTAGTCAGTGCTATAATGAATTACTAAAAAGGATAACCCCCTGTTTTGTATTTATGATTATTTTCAGAGCATTGAGGCTCTTGGTACATATCTCAGTTTCCTGAAAAGTTGTACCAGTTGCCACTCGCTGGTGGCAAGTGCACCTGCCCTTTTCACCTGTGGGACAGATGTCACACTCGTTAGCCCATGTGCTTCTCCCCACGTGATCGCTGAAGTGTCTATGCACGTGTGCATGTGTCTGTGTGTGTGTGCGTGCAGACCTGGCCCAAGCACCGCAGGTGTGGTCTTTGACCTAGCACGTGACGCGACGGTCTGGTTGTCTTGTGTCCTTGGCCCATGTTGCTATGGGGAAGAAAACAAAATTTTCTTCCTATTTTGCATGAGCTCTTTACACAGTAATTAAAAGCAGAGAGACTTTGATTTATAAGGGTAGCACTGGCTGTCACCAAGTGAACTCCCCTGACCACGCCCAGCTGTCCCCTCTGTGTTACCCCCCCCCGGCTGGCAGAAGCCTTCCCGAGACCCCACGTGTTCACCCCTTTGTGTGTTGTGTGCAGGACTGCACCCTGAGGCTCTGGGAGTACAGGAGCGGCCGCCAACTGCACTGCTGTCACCTGGACAGTCTGCCAGAGCCAGCGGAGCCTCATGGCCACAAGGTAGCTGCACACATTCAGCTCAGGGTGATTGGGTGCTTTCAGGGCGTCTCTCTAGTCACTTGGTTTGTGTGTGAAGAATTGCTTAGCCGTTGGAAACAGTTCTTTGCCATCAATGCCAGACTTCTTCCAGATTGGGAGAAATTGCGTGTTTCAAATTCTGAAGGCCTCTAGTCATGTAAGTGGGAAATAATTCATATCTAGCCTTATCTGCATTCCAGCATCTGATTTAGAGAAGGGCCCTGATCCACTTGGAAGTGGACACAGCGGGATGCGAGCAAAGAGCGTGCCTCGGGCTTGTCAGCTGGGCGGAGTGGCCACCTGGCATTGTCCTGTTCCTGATGTGGAGCAGTCTCCTGACACCCCAGAGTGATGCACTGCTCAGGCATGAGCTAAGTTTCCCGATGGGTCAGCCACATTTCTTAATGAGAACTGTGTGATGTGAGCTCTGTGCTCTGCTGGGCCAGGTGGGTCAGTACCTTTCCTCCACATGTCACATGACTCAGACTTCTGGCAGTTTCTTTCATTTTAATATTTCCTCTTCCGGAAGCGTGGGAGCTCGCAGGCACTTGTGTCTGTAACTGATAACCAATAATCACTTTCTCTTACTTTTGTCCTCTCCTCCCGCCTCTCTTTGGTTTTTTGCCAATTTTGTTAGCTTTGGAGACTCTGGAGGAAGGACCAAAGCCACCGAGAGGCCTTTGTCATCTTCCTTGGCATGTCGGAGTTACTTGGAACAAGGAGGTGCCATTACCCTCCCTTCCCTCGCTGATTTCTAGAACATTCTCACACTGTTTCTTTCCTTCCTGGGTGATATGTGGGAGCTGTGAGCATTTTTCGTTATGTTCTCAGTTGGATGAGAATAGCTCAGCGTTGGGTCCCCGTGGGTGATGTGCATTTCAGCTCTTCTTTTCCTTCCAGCGGCTTGCTGCGTCCCGCATTGCATTCTGGCACCAGGAGAGCTACGTTGCACTTCTGTGTGACTGGTAAGCTACAGCCCACTGCCCGCAAGCCACGGGGCGGGATGGGTACATGGATTGTTTATTGGCCCACAGGCATGTCCTCCTACACGAAGAGGCCATCGACGGTCACTGCTGCGTGAGCAGCATGGGTGTCCAAGTTAGCTCTCGCAGTTGCTGCTTAAGCCCGTTACTTAAGGGTAGCAGTGGCCTCCACCTGCAGCCCACCAAAGTTGGTCATGCTGGAGCCACTTGAGAGTTGGTGGCACTTGCTGAGTCTGTGCTGGGTGCTGGGAAAGTGCTTGTGCCTTGCCCACCTCCCATTTTGTCCTGTGGCCTCCGCTTGTTTTGGAAGTGAGGGTGCAGGTTCAGAGCGGGTAAGAACGCTGGCCAGGCCAGAGCCCAGAGCTGCCGCAGGCGTCTCCATACCCTTTTCCTTCGTCCTGTGTTGCTTTTAAGTTGCTTATAACACGTTACCCCAGAACTTGGGGTCTTAAAAACAAACATGTATCATGCCCTAGTTTCTCCGGGTCAGGGATTTGGAGGGGCACGGCTGGGTGCTTCTGGCTCAGGGTGCCTCCTGAGGTTGATACTGGCGAGGGCCGCACTGGCTCCTGGGGCTGCGCACCCAGATGCTGACTGTCCTCTGTCTTTATGGACAGCATCCCTGTGGTCTACATCTTCCAGCTTGATGCCCTGAGACAGCAATTGGTGTTCAGACAGCAGCTGTCTTTCCAGCACCGAGTGTGGGACGTTGCTTTTGAGGAGACACAGGGGCTGTGGGTTCTGCAGGACTGCCAGGAAGCCCCCCTTGTGTTGTACAGGCCCGAGGGCAGCCAGTGGCAGGTAAGGCTCGGGCAGCTTCTCCTAGTCCCAGGCCTGCTGTCCCTCAGGCCTTCTTGGCCCTGCATGTGAACCCTTCAGCTTGATCACTCCCAGTCCCATGGGCTGTGTCCAGAGGGGGCAGTGGCTGGAGGGCCTCGGGCTTGGGTTGGGGGAACTGGGTGCTGCCAGCGTGTCCTATGTCTTCATGCCTATAGCAGGTCTTTTGGGGGGGGGACTGCCATAAGTGGTGTACATCTCTGGGGCTCTCCCATGCCACGCATCTTTTTAGCGGTGAAGCTGGCACTCTGTGCATCTTGGGTGTGCGTCCTTACTGTGTCCTAGGTGTTCTCAGGCTCAGCTTGTGCCTCAGCAGGTCTTCATGGAAGATTTGCTGGGGTTGCCAGGCTGCCGGCCAGCCTGGGCCACGCCCAGCAGGTCTTCAGTCCTGCCTCTTTCTGATCAAGGTTTTCCATCTGTTATCTTCAGTCTGTTCCTGAGAGTGCTGTGTTAGAGGACATCTCCAACTGCCTTCGTGGGAACTGGGCCATGATGGAAGGTGAGGTCATCAGTACAGAGGGCTCCTCAGGGTACCATCCTACAGCATCCATAGAGAAAGGCAGGTTGCAAGAAGCCACATGCTGTAGGGAACTGCTGTGTAAGTAAAGACAGAGGAGCGTGGGGCCTCAGGGAGGGTCATGCACACCATGGAAGGAACAGGATAATTAAAGCTGCAGCACATGAGCCCAAGAGTCAAGGCCCAGGGGTCAAGGCCAGGCAATAACATTCTACGTCTCTGCCTCCAGGGTTAGGTGTTGCAAATCCCTAGGGTGGGGCCAGCACCTGGGGGAGGGGAAGGAGGTGCCCTGCTGCTCTTGTCCAGGCTGCTAGTGTTGAGGGAGTTGGTCCTGCTGTGCGTGTGCCAGTGTGTGTGGTGTCCCCTCTGGTTGGTCAGGTCAGGGACAATCCATGGAGGGTCTTCAAGGCCTGAGTGGGTGCAGGACATCACTGTCCTAACAGGAGCACTAGGCTGAGGGAAGAGGGGCAGGTCAGCAGCACTGTTGGGCCATGCGTCCCGGCAGGGTTGAGGCCTGCTGTACTGCCCTGCTGGCAGAGGTTGTTGAAATAGTAAACTTGCCCCCACGTCTGCTGGTAGGAGATGGCAGACCCTAGTCCTGCAGCTTCTGGTTGTTCCATTGGGCTTTCAGAGCCTCGAGGAGACAGTGTCTGTGGGGTCGTTTATAGCCCGGCGTCAGAATCTAGGTGTCTTCATTCAAATAAAGGAGTTGTTGCTCAGAAGAAGTCTTGCAAAGCCAAACTCCCTCCAGCTAGAAGTCGAGTTCCTTGGAGTGTGTCCAGGGTGTCCTCCTGGCTCTGCATCCCAGAAAGTGTTTCCATCTTACTTTCCTTGTATGGTTGGAGGATCCAGACAGCGACAGGTGACGTCCTCTCCCTATGGTTTGGATTTGCTTTAGCAACATTTCCTGAGTGGATCTGTAACAGGGCTCTGTGTGGGGTTTCCAGTGCGGCTCTCCCAGCCCAGCCCCTGCTGTCCTCAGCAGCAGGGTTCTGGGGTTGTGGCTGGCAGTCCTGCCAAGGGTTACCTCCCAAGGGCCCACACCAAAGCCTGGCTTCCCTTTGCTAAGATGTTCTACAGATAAAACAGCCCGTTTACAGAGCAGGTAGGGGGTGGGGGTGGGACTGCTGCTTGAATATCCCAAAAGCAGCAGAATTGCTGGAGAGGCTAGGAGGCCGTGCCAGCCATGGGGTGGGTCATGTCCCCAGTGCAGTTGCTGGAGCTTCCTGACCAGGTGAGGCGTCTCAGTGGGGCCTGGCCAGTTGTTGCCATCAGGTCTGTATCGGTATCTGTTGTTGCGTAACAAATTATCCCCTATGCAACACCTTAGGACACACAGGCTGTCCTCCCACCGTGTCTGTGGGTCAGGAATTTGGATGCTGCCTAGCAGGGTCCTACAGCTTGGTGAGGTCTCTGCAGGCTGTGGTCACCTCACGTTTCCCTGAGGCAAGGTCCACCCAGCTCACTCACCAGTTGTCGGTAGGATTCAGGTCCTCGAAGCTGGTGGACTGCAGCTTCACTTGCTTGCTTGCTTGCTGGCTGTCGGCCAGAGGCCGCCGCCCCATGTCCCTGCTGTGTGGCCTCTCTGTAGGGTAGTGGCTTCTTCAGAGGAAGTGAGGGAGGGAGAGCATGAGAGAGTGCACGTGAGCCCACGGTGGGGGCTGATTCTCTGTACCCTGGTTTCCAGTTACGTCCCTTCACTTTTGCCATATTCTGTTAGAAGCATGTCCCAGCCAGGTGTAGATTCAGGAGGTGGTGTCACAGGAGCTATTTCAGAGGAACCTCTACAAGTCCACTGAGGACAGTGGGTGTCACTGAGCCGTCCCCATTGAGGGAGGGCTTGTGGGAATTGTGAGTTCTGGGCCCACCAGGACCTGCGTCATCGTCCCACCGACATCTGTTCTTGTTTGCCCGTCACAGGCTCTGCTGGCACAGACGGCAACTTCAGCAACCTCTACAAGGCCACCTTTGACAACATGGCCTCCTACTTGAAGAAGAAAGAGGAGAGAGTGCAGCACCAGCTGGAGAGGAAGCGGCGATGGAAGAGTCCCCCACCCGGGCCCAACAGGCCAGCCAAGAGGACACGGCCCAAGGAGACTCCTTGAGTTACTGATCTCAGCGACGCTGGTGGCTTTCACAACCCCAAAACAGCAGGAGCAGTTTTTACCTGTTCCCTCCCCACCCTGGCATTTCCCTCTCAGAAGAAAAAGGCAGTGGCAGTTAGGTCCCGACCAGCTCAGTGGACAGTCTCCTGGGCTCTAGAATGGTCTGTGTCACTGAGTGCGGGCCTGGCATCTGTTCCCCTTTCTGTTTGGAGGGAAGCCATGCAGTACATTAGCCCAATGAATGATACTATAGATGAGAGTGAGCACACTTTTAAGCACTTATCTTCATATTGGAGGAAACGTATTAACCTGCAGTAGTGGCAGTCATTGATTTTTTTCTACAGTACCCATAATCCCATTCATACTGGCGCACCTTCCTCTACGGAAAGTCTGCAGGCAGACGTTTTTGCAGCAGCATGATATATGTGACTCTTCCCAGTAGTGGTCTCTGCATCGCACATGGTAGCCATTTGCCACGTGGTGCTACCGAAACTCAGAATTATATGTTCAGTGCCTCACTAGTTCCAGCCACATTTCATGTGCTCAGTATCCACACATGGCAAGTGGCTCCTATATGGGAAGCCCAGAAAAAAATGTCTGTCATCGCAGGGAGCTCTGTGGGACAGTGCTGGCACAGAAGGTGAATTTGTTTTGGATTGTGTGAGGACGGGCCCTGGCTAGAAACCCAATTTTACAGGGACATGACCGATGATGTCATGTGTATTTATCACTTTGATTTGAACTCTGTGCACCTGCTGTGGAGCAGTAAGGGTGTCCGCCGAATTCTGATCACCAGTCAATAAAGATGGTTTTTTTGCAGCTTTCTAGAAATGTTTAGCAGCAACGTGTGGAACTAGTCTCAAAAAATATTGAGCAAGATGTTTTGGTGAGTATGCTGTTTGTGACGGGAGTGCTCACTGCTTGATTTGGAAGGACATGTCTTTGCTGGTTAGGCTTATGCACCTGTTAGCTTATTTGCTCAGTTGAGCTTTTTTTTTNTGTCTTTGCTGGTTAGGCTTATGCACCTGTTAGCTTATTTGCTCAGTTGAGCTTTTTTTTTACCGTCTCCCCGATGATTCTGTCTCAAGCATGGGAACAACCGTGTGTGTTGGTGATGACTGAGGTTTTGCTGGGGACGTAGAAACATGTCTTTGCTGGTTAGGCTTATGCACCTGTTAGCTTATTTGCTCAGTTGAGCTTTTTTTTTTACCGTCTCTCCGATGATTCTGTCTCAAGCATGGGAACAACCGTGTGTGTTGGTGATGACTGAGGTTTTGCTGGGGACGTAGAAAGAAAATTGTATATCAAAAGCTGGTATGCTTCAGACTTTTCATAAGTGCCTAATTTTTTTTCTAACATTGATCTGAAAACAGTGCTGCTGGTGAAATGTTCAGGCCACTCACTTGCTGATGGTGGCAGGCGTTCCAGAGTGCAGTAGGACCCCAGGGAGGAGCAGCTTCTTGACCCTTCCCCAGCTTTCTGTTACCCAACTGCCTGCATGGGAGCCAGTTACTGAAGCACCAATTTTTGCAGTAGAGGAAAAAAGGTTTATTCACAAGGCCACGTGAGAAGATGGAGATTTTTATCTCAGATCATCTTGCACATGGAGGGAAAGATGGTATATTTACTGGGAAGTGGTCAGGGTGGGGTGAGGGTCTGTACAGGCTCAAGGCCTCTGCATACCTCTGCAGGTTCAGAAAACAGGTCTGGAGCAGGAATTTTTGGATATTCATGCAGGCTCCCTGGTGAGGTCTGTGGACTCAGCCAGCCTAGCCCAGTTTGTGTTGGACCAAGCTAACGTCAAGATCCTGAAAAACACCCTTAGGTGCACAGCCCTAACCCTAACTTCTGCACCAGAGGCATTATCTCAAGAAGGCAGATGGAAAAAAACAGAATGAGTTAGTTATGGAATTTTACTGAAAGAACAAGTTCAACAGTTCTAACTGAAAGCCATGGTTGGAATTCCACCTTCGTGCCAGCATTAGTCCCTCCATAACGGCCCTTAGTACATCTCAGCTGAGTGTGCAGCTGAGACACGGCCGTACTCACGTGCCCCCACCTGTCCCAGAAGTTGCTTTCATGGTTGGTTTAGACCCAGATCCACGTACTGTATTTAAAGGGTTTCTCTCTCTCCACCCTCCACCTAGAACAGCACAGCCCCTGTGTTCCTTTCCTCCTGGGATCCGTGGTGTGGGATGTTATCCTGCTTCTCCTGATCTGCAAAGCAGTCTCTCAATTTGTCTGTTTCATCTGCTGACCTATTGTGGGAGTATGCAGCTCTCTTACCCACTTCTTTAGTCTTACTGTCTTTATCTCCTATTTTCCGTTCATTCTTACTGTCTATATGTTTTACTTTTGGGGACATTCCGAGGACTTTGTTCTACCTCTTTTATTGATTAAAAAAATTTGGTTATAGTTCTTAATTCTAAACACTTCATCTTGATTGTGGCACACAGTGTAAAACTGAGAAGTGCACGTGAAATGCAGACTGGGATTTCACCCACTGAATACACGTGTGCAATGATGTCCACAAGAAGCAGGACATTTACCAACTTCTAAGATGTCCTTCCCTCCCCCCATGTTCCCTTCTAGTCATTGCCCATCCCCGCACCCCCACCTCCAAGACTGGCCAGTTCAACATCAGTTTACCTTTTCTTGCTTCTGGCTTCCTCTGAGGTTTAATCACTGTTGCATGTGGTTGTGGATTGTTTATTGTGTGAAAGCACCGCAGAGTATCCATTTTACTGTTGCTGGGCATTTGGGCCGTTTCCAAATTTTGTCTATTAAGAGTAGAACTACAATGAACATTCTGAATGTTCTGTTAGCTGTCCCTTGGAACATATGTAAGCATGTCTGTTGGGTGTGGAATTGCTGGCTCGTGGTTATGCATCTGTTTAGCTTATGTTAATTCAAACTGTGACCACAAGATGTAGAATTTGTTATGTCCTCGTGCTCAGCATTTGAGGTTATGATTCATAAGCAACCTTGAAAGTCCATAGCATTTAATAATGTGTAATTTTGCAGAGGCACAACACTTGGAGTTATGGGCTGGTATGTGGAATCTGCTGAAGCTACCCACTAAACATCCAGACCTAAACATGGTCTTGTCCTCTGTGAGCCACCTTAAGAAAATTGGATCACCCAGTCTTGGATCACTCATGGGAGAAGCCAGCCACAAGTCATGTGGACACTCAAGCAGCTTGCAAGAGGTCAGTGTGGCAGGGAACAGAGGCCTCTTGCCAGCAGTCGGTGTCCTGCATGAAGTGCTTTCTGGGTTTTTTCCTGCATCCCATGTGTGTTAACATGTCATATTTTTCTTTCTAATTTCCCTTGTGATTTCTTTGATCAATGGGTTATTTGGAAGTGTGGTTTAATTTTAAAACATTTTCCCCCCAGATTTTTTTGTTATTACAGATTTCTGGTTTTAATTCCATTGTGGTCTCAGAATATACTTGGCTGATTTCATTCCTTTCAGAGTTATTGATCTTTTTTTTTTATGCTCCACAGTATGGAGGTTATTTCACACGCACTTGAGAAGAACATGCTTTCTGCATTTGTTGGCTAGAGTGTTCTAAAAATGTGAATTAGGTCAAGCTAGTGATATTGTTGCTCACTATCCACTTGAAGGACACAATCTGCTTCTTAATTTTTACTTACTAATATCAATTATTGAGAACAGTGTTTAATATCTTAACTATAATTGTGGATTTGTGTGATTTTTCCATTGTCCTAGCAGTTTTGCTTCATATATTTTAAAACTCTGATACTAGGTGCCTGCACTTCTAGGAATATTATGTCTTCCTGATGAGTGATTCCTGAGCCATTATGATACACCTCTTTTTATCCCTAGTTGTAATCTTTGTTCTGAAGTCTATTACCTGATATTAACGTAGCCACTCCAACTGTCCTTTGGTTAATTAGCATGGAATTTCTGATTTTATGCCTTTACTGCTAATATACGTATGTATTTATATTTAAAGTAGACTTTAAATATTTTTTTTATCCCCAAAAATATTGGGTTTCAATGGACATACAATCTGAGCCACATCTATAATTTAAAATATTCCAGGAGTGACTAGTAAAAGTCTTAAAGCAGGTGAAATTAATTTTGATAATGTTTCAGTTACCCCAATACATCTGCCAGGGTACTTAAAAAAGTGTGAAAGTTATTCACGAGCTATTGTGCATTCTGGTTTCCATCCTGTTAGGAAGCTGGTGTTTCACACACTGCACTTCTCAGATTCCATCAGCCACATTTCTAGCCCCCTGTGGCTGCATGGCTGTGGGTCTTTTGTCCTGGGCAGTGCAAGTTTAACCATTTACATTTAGTGTAACCTTCGGTGTGGTTGGGATTAGTCTGTCATCTTGCCATGTGTTTTCTCTTTATCCCATGTTTTTGGTTCCTTTTACTCTCCCAGCTTTCTTTGGGATGAATTGAATAATTTTTAATACTCCCATTTTGTTCTACTCTTGCACTTATTAGTTAACTCTGGATCTTTATTTTTTTAGTGGTTACTCTAGTGTTTAAAATATGCAACTTGAACTTATCATAGTCTGCCTTTGAATGATACTGTACCACTTCATGTACAGGATGGGAACCTTCCTACACAGCCCTGTCCCTTGTGCTGTCCTGGTTGTGCAGAGGAGAGCTAACACAGCTGGCCTGAGACAGCTGTTCTAGGAACATCCTAGTTGCAGGTCTGGCCCTGGCTGGTGTCTGGGAACTTGGCTGGTGCACATTTATCTATACTGATATATAAAACTGTCCCTAACTGATAAGAGTGGCTCACAGTATTGTGGGAAAGTTAGAAGGGGACAAGAGCAGGAAGAGGAAACCCAGTGGTTTGCGAGTAGGATAGCTGGTATGGCCAGTTCCTTGAGAACACAGGCATGCACAGCCACAGGAAATAGATGGGGAGCTCTGCTCCCATGTAGGGCACCATTTGGTTGGACCAGTGAGCTCCCACCAGCTAAGGTGCCAATCAACAGAGACTACCAGGGCTCAACCAATGACCAAACAACACGACTCCAGCTGGGAGGACTTAACCCCCACCCAGGAATGTAACTGCCCATGCTCTTGAGCCACACTATTGCTGGAGCCCACTCTGTCCTCTCTGGAGCGTATTCTCTCTTTACTAAATAAACTGTCCTTTGCTTTTCACCTCTGGTGTGTCTCATCCAATTCTTTGTTCGAGACACTAGGAACCTGGATTTAGCTTGGTGAGACCTGCAGTTTCCCACAACACCACAACCTGAGTTGTACATACAGTGTGGTTTATGCTGAGCACCTGCTCCCATCTCGAGTCTGGGATTTTGGCACATCCAGGCAGAAGTGCCCACGTGACCAGCTCCAGTGACAACCGTGGGCACCAAATCTCCCACAGGCTCCCTGGTGAATGACATCTCATACGTGTCGCTACAGTTCCTTGCTGGGGACTAGGCACACCTGAGTGACCCCACCAGAAGAGGACAGTGTGAGCCTGCGCCTGCTTTCTCCAACTTCACCCCCTGCACCCTTCCCTTTGCTGGTTCTGCTGTGTCGGTTCCCTGCAATGATCATGGCTGTGAGTTCCACCATCTGCCGAATCCTGCGAGTCCTCCTGGTGGGTCACTGACCCAGGGTGGTTCTGAGATGGCAGTCATATATTTTACTTTTACATATGTTTAAAACCTACAGTAGATTATCATTTTTGCTTTATACCTGTGCTGTCCCATACAGCAGGCAATATCTCCGATGTGGTGATTTAAGTTAAAATAAATAAGCCAATTTCTTAGTCACACTAACCACATTTCAAGTGATTAATAGCCAGATCTAGCTTGTGGCTACCATACTGGGCAGC